CCAAACTATGGAGGGGCAGGGTCTCAGCCTGGCCTTTTTCTTTCTCTGTCTTCATTCCCAGGCCTCTTTACTATACTGGTTGATAAATCCCAATCCCCAAATTTGATGTTTGCAGACCAAATCTGGCAGCCACCTGTCACTTGCATGTCTTTAGGCATCTGACCTGGACTCTGGAATCTCCTCCTCCCCCACGCCATCGCATCAAGGCTGCCTCACTGTAGGACACGCTATCGTCATACACTCAAGCCCAGTGCTCAGCATTCTTCCTGGAGTCCTCCTTTTCCTTCACCCATCATGTCTCACCCACCAGCTCCACCTCAGAAATGCGTCTCAGGAATCCTGTTCTTTCACTTCTGCTGAGACCACCCAGGACCAAGCTGCTTCCTCTGTGGCCTGGACCAGAGCTCCTAAATCCTCGGCTCCTGCAGCTCCTCTGCCTCACCTAGGGGAGGCCTTGTGTTTCCAGGAGGTCACAGGAGCCTACCCTGCTCCTTCAGGCACCAGGCGTGGTGGGAGTTACGTGCTTCTGCACTGCTTTGTTTTACATCTCAGCATCCTTGCAAACTCAAGGAAGGCTGGGACAATGACTGCGACCACAGAGCATAGAGCCTGGACTTTTGTTGCTGCTCAGAGACACTGTGTTGACCAACTGAGTGCCTCCTGGGGTTGGAATGAGGGTTCTGGGCCATGCTGGTTGCCTCTGTGATGCAGGCTTCTCAATATCTGAGCCTTAGGCAAGTGACCTGACACCTGGGCCTCAGTTTCTTCATTGTGAATAAGAATATTCATACTGTGTCAGGTTCTGTTGAGAACAAGTTAACACATACAAAGTCCTGAGACTAACATAATATATATATAAACTAGTCCTGATAAATATTAGCTACCTTAAGTTACAATTAGTCAAAACCGTCCACAGAAGTGGGTAGGGGGTGGCGCCGATCCATCCAGACCGGCAGGGTACTTGGGCAAGCCTGGCCCCCAGAACTCTGCAGTCCCGCTCCCAGGCATTTACTGTGCAGTAGCCTGCATGCCACCTGTCTGGGAGCTGTCATCATCTTGTCATTCCACAGGATCATCCCACAATCCTACTGATGCACCTCTTGGTGCCTGGGAAGAGTCAGGGAGAAGGAAGGACGAAGGGGACAGTCCAGACCAGGGCCAAGGAATCCATGAGAGTATCACAGCTTTAAATTCCCAGTAGAAATCAGAAAATCTGATCTTGCAAATCTAAGAATAGCTGCTGGTTTCGGCTGTGAGAAGTGCCAAAGTGAAAGCTATAATTATTAGTAAGTAACAAGCAGAAATTAACCACCTACCGCCGAGTCATTTTTAGCTGCCATCCCAATGTGGGAATTGAAAGATGGGCACCCAGAAGCCACATGGCTTGGAAAGGCTCTGGTTGAGCTTGGAATTACAATGATTGAGTTTCCAGAGGCCAACAGTGAGGCTTGAGTTGACGAAGGCGGGGTGCATAGTTCCAGGGGCTCCATGCTGAGCAGCAAGGACTCCTGCTCTACCCTAGTTTTCCTGGCTTCTGCCCCAGGAAGACTGCATGGTACCCAGTGCTATCTAGCCAGGCCCTCAAGCTGTGGGCTGGAGGGGGAAAGACCCTCCCTTTGACCTTGTTTATGAGATACAATACATGCAAATGACACCATAAGTAACTTGAAACTTTCCAAAAAAGAGACCCAAACTGGAAAGTTGCTTTGTAAATATGATTAGAAGCCCAGAGGCCGTAAAAAGAAAACAAAAATACAAGCACAAGGGAAATTTCTTTTACACATAATAAAGGCTTAGTAGGGGGGAAAAAAAGCTCAGTATTTAAGATAAATGGGCAACAGCCACAAGCAGCCAATGAAAATACTGTTTTTCATATGGGGGCTGGCAAAGCCCTAGGGTTTTGAGTATCTGTGGTGTCAGCAAGGAAGTGAGAAATGGACGCTCACATGTTGTTGGCTGGCTTAGAAACTGGTATGGTTCTATGGAAGGCATTGTGACAAAATTTATCAACAATAGAGAGTGCAAATCCTTTGCTCCATTATTTTTACATTTTGGAGTTTATCTTAGAGATACAGAACTAACATATGTTATTTAAACACTAATCAACAGAGAACTGGTTGAATTACGGTATTTCCACACCACTTACTATATATGACACTGCTGTAAAAAGTATGAGTCATATGTGACAGTCTTCTGACACCACGGTAAGAGGGCAGCAGGGACAAAGCCCAGCGTGGGATGATCTCCAGAAGGGGCACACATGACCACAGCCCAGGGACCAGGGATAGGAGGAGCCTTTTCCCTCTAGCTCATTCCCACCTTTTCAACTGTGTACTACATGAATGTGTTATTTATTGTTATTTGAAAACAATTTCAATAAAATCATGACACAGGTCAAAACCACCAAGGATCAAACATGGCCACCAGATGTCCTGCTGAAATCTGAGGTTCTAAGGTAAGGGGTGTCCCGAGTAGAAGAGTGGGCCCCCACCACACAGGAAGGGGACCCTCTGTGCCCAAGCACCCCTGGTTTCCTGAGTCTCTATTTGCAGCTTTCTTCCGAGAGCCATTGGAGGCTCAAGTGTCCTCTTCACCTCCTTGCCATCAAATGCATGTACAAGCAACTCGGACACAGTGGGATGGAATGTGAAGGCATCTTGAGTGACCTTTCTTGCAAGACTCAAATCTAGAGCTACCACTGCAAGCTCCTGCTGCACACAGTTCACTGGAAAAAACCCTAAGAGAATCCCACAAATGTCAAACATCATGGCCTTGGGTGCTGGGCCTTGATCCAATTTCTCTAAAGCTTGCAAAATTGATGACATCTGGCAGTGCTGCTGGAGCTGATGATGGACACAGAAGTAGATGCCACCTGGTTTCCATGAACTGCCACAAAATGAAGTTACCTTTGTTTTGCCTTTTAGATCAGTAGAGCTCAAACCATATGTGGTACCTCCTGATGATTCAGTGGTAACTGTTTTTCTGAATTTACCTCTTCATGACTATGGGGCTATATAATTCTAAATTTTGACTCATGTGTGGCTTTGAAAGAGCACACATCCTACTGGCTCCATTCACTCACACGTCACGCAGTGTTCACGACACCTGTACAAGCACATCTGCCTGGAGGTTAGAAGGCATGTGCTTTTACAGTTCAAGTCCATTAACCTATGTTACAGTCACACATGTTGATTAGTAATGAGACCCTTATTCTGTCCTACAAGCCACAGCAATGATGAAACATATGTAATTACATAAAATTTTAAGAATAGCTCTGGACCTTGGTCACCAAGTTCTTAAAGTTTCAATATGCAACTACAAAATTTCCTCTCTGAGTCATGGCAGGTTACACAAAGAAGGGCAGAGTTCTTAAAGAACTGAGTGGGGGACAGCAACCATCAGGCAAAGCTCTGTGGACTTTGGGTCATCAAGTTTTCCAAGCAGCAAGCAAGAGAAGCCCGCTGGTGAGGTCGGAAGCAAGTCTAGCTGGGAGGATCACTGCCGGCCCTTTGGGCTTTAGCCTCTGCTCTTCAAAGACTCAATTTCTGGCTGAGTTTGAAAGACAGCTCTGCTCCTAGCCCAGCCTTAAATCTCTTTCAGGCACCTACTCCTTTTCTTGCTGAGACCCATGGGCACTGCTCACAGAGGTGACTGAGCAGGACCTTGTCAGACTCTTGGGCCGGGTTTATCTGTCACAGAGTGGGGGTGGTGGCCTTGCTGCAGGGTCCTGGCCCTTGGAAGCAGCCTGTCTGTGACCTCTCCGGGGAAGAGCACAATGCTGTGCAGCGCGTGCAGTGGGGAGGATTCACTGTACATGCATGAATCAGCCCTCTGCTGCGCTTCCGCTCTCGGGATTATAATTAGTTAATTTATGGTGGTTGCTATGACTCAATTAAACATGCCAACACAGAAAATGCTGTCTGGGTGGGGCCTTGGGACTGCCAAGCCAGGTAAATCCAACTGAGCTTTCATGATGCACAGGTCTCCGCTGGGGACACACAATGGAGTATCATACAGTGGACTTGGGCAAAAGGAGTAAAGAAACAGACAGCTGTGGGTAACACACACACCCTCCCCACCAAACTTGGGTTTCTGGCATGCATCTTGCTGAGAATGAATCTTAGAAGGCTCAGGCAGGGTCGTGCAGATAGTGTGATAAAATTTGAGGGACAGAAGTTTTATGAGAAGTAGAAATATGCAAGCAAATCAACAGCCAGCATTAACTTGGGAGCTCTGTACAGTGGGATTCTCACTGTTCTGAAATGCTGGACTTATCTCTGGAATTTCCAGCTGTGCAGAAGCGTTGCTCTAAGCCAGTGGATTTCTGTGCAACTTGGGCAGGGGTGATTATCCCTGCTGCTGGGCCAGTTTCTAGGCCAATGGCTTCTGCTGATGCCCTCTCAGTTAGTTATCAGGGGCCATCAGAGAAGGTGGGACCAACAAACATGTTTCCCCTGCCCTGGCTTTGATAGACACTGGTGTTGCAAATACCCCTTGTCCCTTCCCCTGGAGACTCCGAGGCCTGGCTGCTGAGAGGCACTGTGCTCATCAACCCTAAGAGGCAGGTGCTATTCTAACCCCATGGTGCAGATGAGAAAACTAAGGCTGAGCGATCCAGACAGAACACAAAGTATCCAGCTGTTAGGTAGTACAGCAAGGATTCCACTCCATGTCATCCCCAGAGATGGTGTGATCATCTAGAGCACAAAGCCTGTAACCCACAGAGCAAGAAAACCTCTCTTGGGTGCCTGTTCTAGGACAGGTTTTCCGTCAGGTGTGGATACTAGTGGACGATGGGTAGATAGTGAACAAATTATGGTCCTTGCAAACAAGTGATAAAAGTTTGGTGTTTGATAGCAAAGGCTTTGCTTTTGCTTGATGGGTGTCCAGGGTTACACGCAGAGCCTCAGGACCTGTAGCTTTGGGTGCAGCATAGCTGGTGGAAAAAGGTGCAGGGGTGGAAGGGTTCACAGGGTGGGTACAGGAGGGCAGAGCAGTACCTGCATGGAGCCAGATCTGTGCCAGCGTCATCCAGGGATGTAGTGGGCCCTGCTTGGGAGCACTGCTCTGCAGAGATGAGGCCACTTCTGACAGTGCTTGCTCCACTCTTGAGGCTGCCACAGATGTGGCATGGACAGAGCCTGTGGGAGGTTTCGAGAAGACAGGGTCAGGAGTGAAAGAGCGGGCTACCAGCCACCGACTGACAAATGGCTCTCCCAGTACATAGACATGAGTGTGCAACACACACACACACACACACACACACACACACACACACACATCCTTTCTCCAGGATGTTTCTGAGTTACTAATGGAATGGTGCTAGTCACTGTGGCTTAGTACACCAGTTTCATCCTTTTGCTTTAGCTGACTTTTATTCAGCACACAGGGAACATGCTACGCTAAGGACTCCCTCCAGGAGCTCAGCACAGGGTCAGTGTTGGGGGCAAGAAGGAGGTTCAGCTGCAACACAGCAGTTAATGAATGGCATACATGAAAACCTACATTGAGACGTTACAAAGCGCTACGTAGGGGCCTCAGCTTAGTGACTCTATGGGAGAAGGCAGGGGGGGGACCATACTTGCCCGCTGAGGTAGTGTGTGGAGTAGCTGGCTGGCCATTGTCAAGACAAACCCCGAAACTTCCCATTCATTAGTGCAGCCTGGCCTGCAACAGGTGGGCAACACTCCTGGACTCATTCTGTGGCTTACAGACTGTAGAAAAAGTATACTTGGCCCTGAGAATAAGGTGTCTACTCTCAGGCTAATTCTAGACTAGAGGAAGATGGCTAACAGTCAAATGCCTGGGGCTCAGAACAGGCGCCTGCCTAACTATCTGTAAAACTGCTGACCTGAAAGGAGAGGACCCCAAGGAAAGAGGCCACTCAGCATATTCACTAGGCAAAGATGTGGCTGCAGTGTGTGAGTCAAAATGTGAAGGTGGCCTTGTAGAGGTCCTGATGACCACAGGCCACTTCCATTGACAAGGACTTGTTCCCTACCTCTGTCCAACATTCACTTTTGGAGCATGGCTTCAGAACAAGAGGGCAGGATTCTCAGCTATTCCAAATTATCTATATTCATCTGTAATCATCTTTCTTAATTTGTAATTCACCAGGAAGTTCAGTGTGGGTTAAATATTCCGACACTGTTTGTGGTAACTATCAATCCATCGTGAAGTTTAAAATGGACAATATGTAAAGAAAAATGCTGAATATGCTAATAAATTGAGATCATTATACTCTGCATAATATAAAATTGTGAGCGTAAATATAATTTCAACTGGATTTTAGAATGTAATGCAAGTTATAGACTTTAAGGGAACATACACCGTAAGTGGCTTCCTGTGTAACAGTCTGACTGCTCCAACGTAACAGTCACATGGACTCCTCTCATTACACTCGACTTCTTTGCAGGGGTTTGGTGGACAGAAACAAAAATCTGCCAAAGGGAAGGCACTGCACCTTCCATGGCCAGTTCACAGACAGGCCTGTGAGGATACCCAAGTGGACAGCGGTGCTGGGGAAAGGCCCTGTGGGTTCTCTAGGAGAAAAGTGACTGCCTAAGAATGCAGACACGCAGGCCAAGACAAAGGATCCCACTTGATGGTATTATAATACTCAGGACGAATGTAGGCTGGCCACCAATCTACCTTTGGTAAGACAAAATAGTCTAACTCCATTAGAAAAAATATCCAAATATCTAACGATTAAACAGCTATGACTATTCTTGGTCTTACTTTCTTTTTTCTTGCAGAAAATAATATTTTAACTTTGGTAACAGGGTTTATAGCTTCCCCTGAGATTTTTAGTAGCAATGATCAAATAAATGCATAATCTGGGTTACTATTCCTACATTCTGCTATTACCTTTTCGCTGATTCTCAACACTGATGTCACACTGAAATCACTTGGGGATGTAAAAAAGTTGTGACATCACAGCTACACCCCAGAGCAAGTGAGTCACAATCTCTGAGTGGGGCCAGGAATTTAACTATTAATCACGTAATTTCAACAGGCTACGAGGAAGACTGAAAGCCATACGGGGGGACAAGAAGAGATGTAACTAACTTTTGGGTAGAAAAGCTTGACCCAGGCCAGCAGCTTGAGTGCTCCTACTTCCTGGTAGCCAGTGGTTACTTGGGAAACAGGGTTCCAGGAAGATCTTGTTTTCTGGAACAGTGGCTCTCAGATTTCCTGGTCTCAGAATCACTTTACACTCGAAAGTTATTAAAGACCCTGAAGAGACTTATGTGGGTCTCACCTATTGATATTTACCACATGAGAAACTAAAGCTGAGATACGTTTAAACTGTTCATGTATTGGTTCATTTAAAAATAAGCTGATGCTACAGAAAAATCCTGCAAATTTTCTACCAGGTTCTTGTAGCTTTTAGAGGGGTTTATTTCACTTTTTGGATTAACTATTTTGTTTGATCCACAAATGAACTAATGAGAACTACTGTCAAAGTTCCTTTCTTTTGTGATATCTATATACAACCATATTATTTAATTCCTAGTGTAACAACACATTTTACTATGAATAAGGTCTGGTCAAAGACCATGATGATGATGACAACCACAGCGGCAAGGATCATTTTTAGACAACATATTCTGTTTCAAGCTCTAAGATTAGCTCTTGAGATATGTTACTTAATCTTTAAACAGTTCTTTGTGGTAGGTAATAATGTTCTCTGCATTGCTCAAAAAACAAAATCAAGACTTAATAAGGTTATGTAACTACCCAGAGTCATACATCCAGTCAGTGGCAAAACCAAGGCTCAGACACTGGTCTGACTCCAAAGCCAATTTCCTTGGCCAATTTCCTTGTCTTAGAGGCCTTGGGACATCTGGGTCTTTCTACTTGGGTATCTTTAGTGCTGTGTGGACCACAGGTTTCAAAGCTGATGTAACCGTCTCCTTTCTTAGACTCTGTAGTTTTAGAAGACAGGATGTCTCTGCCTTTAGGTATTTTCAGAGACTAACAGTGCCAGGCCCATCTTAGGTATCAGGCTAACGCTTGTGGTATCAAAGAACACAGACAGGTCCCCACATGACCTTTGGAAGAGGGCGGCTTCCTTTTGGGGTACATGTCTGTTACATTCTCCTCTTCTCCCTAACAATGGGTGAGAAGCCAGAACCTTCAGCCTCAAAGGGCTTCTCAGTGTGGCTGCCATCACGTCTAACAATTTGTTCTAAAACTAACAGCGCCACACAGAGTCGAACAGTGGGCATCATTTAGTGACTTTTTCCTCTCAAATTCAATCAGCCCATTAAAACAGAAAAGGCTGACAGGTGTATCAGAACACTTCTTTCCTTTACAATCAAGTCCTTCTACGCATATTCCACAAGGGGAGAAAGCCTTCCTGTTCTGAACCAGGGGTAGGTATTAGAGCACTTGGAGATTTATTAGTAAAAGCAGATGACTAACAATAGTAAAATGATAGAATAGTTAGCATCTACTATTCTTGGTAATAATACAAAAATAAAATTTATAAAATTCTCCCACTGGGTTGGAATTTGGGAGAATGATGTAAAACCAAAACAGCTCGTGTCCTGCTGTTTTACGGAGGTGCTAGCAATGTAGGTATCAAATTTTGATTTATCTGGATAAATGACATGAAACACTGCTTCTAATCCACAGAGTTTTAAGGTACTCGTTTCTTTCTCAGCAAAGCAAACGTGTTCCTGCACTGAGCATGACTTATGGCAGAAATGGAGAAATTGAGGCTTCAGCGGGAATCCAGAGAAAGAAAGGACACACTCCCAAACTGAAACCCAAGACTCTGCAGAAATAATTTGCCAAATAATCAGGTTCTGCAGGGGAGCCAGGGAAAGGGCCTGAGCTCCTGTTCACCTCTTACTTATCGCACTAATTTGAGAAGTGCTTATCGCTGGCCTGCTGTACTCCTGGGGCTGTGGGCTGCTCAGCAGGTCAAGCTCTACCGAGGAGAAAATGGTCCCTTTCCCTCAGGACACAGCAGCTCAAAAAAGCTACTGTGAAGCCAGATAACCCAAGAGCTGACACCGGCAGCTGAGTGCACGCCCTATAATTTGGCCCAGGATCTGTGACCTAACTGCCTAAATGGTCCGGGGCACACTTTGTGGCAGGGCTGCCCTCCCAGGCGGACCTGAAAGAGAAAACGTTGTCATGGATACTTGCAACAAAGGAAAAGGGCCACATGGAGAAATGGTTCCAATTCCTAATCCAGGGTTTTCTTTAAGGTTTCTTCTGGACTACAATGTGTGTGTGTGTGTGTGTGTGTGTGTGTGTGCACATGCAAGTGTATATAGGCATCAGGAACTATAGTGCAAGGACACTGGTCTACAGGCCATCAGGACCTGGAACCAAGGCCACTGAGGTCAGGGCACTGACCCTCCTCAACTCTTCCTGAGCTTTGCTATCACACACTGAAGTCTGCGGAGAAACTCCGCCACGAGCAGGATGCTTGAAACATCCGGTTTCAACTGCTTTGCGGCTAATGCTTCCCAAACTCCTTTTTTTACCTAGGGCAACAGAAACCTGTGATCAATTTCACAGAAATTTCAAATGTGGCCAACTACATATGACCCTATTTCATCACCAAAGCTTATCGTTCAAAGAGATCCAAGAGCCAATCATTTTCTTCAGCGAAAGTTAGGTGGCTTAGTCTGATCTGCATTTTCACATCAAAGGTCAGTGAATGCACAGCGTGTTTCCCTTCCTGCTACTCTTCTGACTTTCTGGTGGCATCCGTCAAGTGGCTACAGTCTGAAGGATCCTGCACTTTCCCTCTGCCCTCATGTCTTCACAGCATGGAGAAGATGAACTGGATCTCGGATGACGGCTGCCCACCTAGTGAGTTGGTACACCATCCCAGGCTGGCAACAATGGATAACGATGTTCTGTTCTGTGTGAAACCCATCAGCTGACACACAGTTGCTCGGGATTCTGGGCAGCTCTCTCCTTCACAGCCCTGGAGGATTAGCTCAGCTGTCTCAGGTACACAGATGTGGGAGAATGATGGAGCACATGGCTGTGCCCGTGTCCCACATTCTTTCTGCTGATACCTAGCCTCCCTGTATCTTTCTGAAAAGCCCCGCAGCCATCCAGTTCAGGTTTGCAGAGATTAGCTGCTACTGCATCTCTGTGCTTATTTCTCCCAGGTTCCAAATAATTCAGTGCTCTCTGCCAATGGGATTGACTCAGCTCCCAGTCCTAGAAGCTGTGCCTCCTAATAAGAAGGGAAAGCGGCAATGTCCCCCTGAAGACCCTGTAGATGAAAGAGCGACAGGGATGACTAAGCATTCTGCCAGCCAGCCTGCTTACACTTTTTCATCTTTAACAGGAAAAGAGTGTCTCTCTCTCAAGGCAGGGCTTGGAAACACACCTGCCCATTGCTGCAGACTGCCGGCAGCTGTGCCCTTCGGTCCCCGCACTTGCCACCTGTGCTCCAAGAGCCTGTGCTCTGTCTGGGCTGAGGAAGGGGAGGCGAGGGCTAATGATCAGATAACCCTTAGCTCCTGGAGGAAGAGGAAGTTTCAGTTGCCAACTTAGGCACATTTCATCTATACCTTTTCTTCTTTAAACCTAACAGATTTTGGTGTCCTCGCCCTCCTGGGGAGGTCAGCCTGCTCTTATGGGGAGGCTGGCAAGGGGTGGTGCCCCTCACGCTGGGCTCTTCAGGTCTCCTTTCCATATCGGTGGCCTCTATGAGTGCCACCATCTCCCCTTCTGTGACGTGTTTACCAGGTGACAGTGGGCCAGGCCTGCAGAGCTTCCGGGAGGCAGCTGCCTCCTGCTGAGGCCACGGTCGGCTCTGGGCTCCTCTGACCAACAATTCTGGCAGCCTTTCTTTCTCTGAGTGAAGAACAGATGAGGACAACAAACCCGGGGCCCCGAGATGAGATCACAGTTTGCCAAGGACTGGAACAGAGGGTCAGTAAATGGTGTAGCTCTGACAGGAGGTGTCTTCCCCTGAGAGGGAAGGACCCACTGAGGCAGGGAAAGAAGGGGTTGCGTTGTCACCAGCGGGCAAGCGTGGGCGGCAGGACATGCTGCTGGGGGCCAGGCGGTCACTCGGAAGCATAGAGGGCAGCCATTCACAAGCATGCAGGGGGAAGCCAGCTACCGGAGTGCAGCGCCTGCCACTGGCTCTGGGCTGGAGACAGTACTTTGTGCAGGAAGACTGGGGGCTGATGCCACTTTGCTGGCTCAGCCCTTCCTGCTGCGTATTTTTGGGGGCTGTGGTGCAGGCCTGAAGCGGCCTTGGCCTGGGAGGCTGCTGCTCTTCAAGCCCTAAGTGTTCCTGACTGCAGCACTGTGGGAGAAGCCTCGGCCCAGCCCTAGTCTACTTCAGACACCTTCTTCTGCCTGAGTGCCATTCATCGATCTCCTATAATTCCGCTGAGCCTTGCTTAAAGAAAGACACCACAGAACTAATGAAGGAGAATGATGTTACATTCACTTTAATCTATTCTAAATAGCAAGAAGAGGTTATGTTTGTAAAGGTCATATATGTCAGTGCCACTTTTTCTTTTAATTACCACCCCTCAAAAATCGGAGGGCTATTACTAGAATAACGCTTTCATATACACAGATTTTTAAAAATTTACAAGAAACAAGAGGTAAAATATGCTACCTCACTGCTTACTTCCTGATCACTACATTCTTGAATGTTAGAAAATGCAAAGTCAGTGAGAAAATGCTAGCCATAATGGAAGGGAAAAAATTACTTCTCTCTTGAATTCATTTCTCCATCTTAATTCGTTTTAGAGGTGTGTTTTTACACTAATCTGTTTATTCTCCTAAGTGACTTATTCCCAGAGAGAGCAACAATCTCACCAGAAATAGTGATAAGAAAAACTGAGCCAACAACCCTTGTGGGCAATCTTGCTTTGGGGCACCTTCTTTGGAGAGGGGAATAAAACACCAGGATGCATTTTTTTTCTCCAAACTGAGAAAGCTCTCCAGAAAGAGATCTCCCGGGGTCCTCAAGCCTACAAGTCTAGGAAACAAGGGGCAGTGCACAGAGACCTCATGGCCAGTCATATCTTGCCCAGCCCACTCCGCACCTGCCACCCTGGAGTGACACTTCTTTGGGGACTGCAGCTGCTTGGGCTGTGTCTACAAAGGCATCTGACTGACCCTAAAACCAGGATCAGTTACTGCCTAATCAGAAAGGCGTGTGTAAACACAATGATTATGGTTATATTTTTGTAGATGAGGAAACTAAGATCCAGAGAGATCCAAGGCATTCCAGGGGGCTCCTCTGCAGAACTAGCTCTGGAATTTGAGCTTCCTGACCTTGGGGAGTTAGAGCTGCTTCTACAGAAAATAATTAAATATATGCTCTTGCACAAAGGTATCAAGCCTCACTTTAACCAATAAAGACTTTAGTGTAGCCTGGTTTTCTGAACATCAAGTATTTTTAATGTCTCTCAGGAGCCTGATACTAAAGGAGCCTGAAAATGAAATCTTTTTATGAGGAACTCTAAGGGATAATAACACCAAAACACACCCCTTCTTTCTATTATGGACTGTTTTAAAACCAGAAATTAAACCACATCTAGGCAGAGCTGGACTTTAGAGAAGAAACACACTCCTTTGGTGGGGGATTATTTGTCATAACCAAAAGGCTCCAATCATTTAAACGCCATCTACATTAGTATTTCTGGAGGGAGAGAAACTATTTCCCCAAAGTATCTGATGAGACAGAATCAGATGTCTAAGAAACATCTTTTGGAAAAATGTGATCATAGGGCCAGGTATTTAGCTCAGTGGCATAAGCGCCTGCCTGGCAAGGCGAGGTCCTGAGTTTGATCCCTGGTACCATCTAAAACAATAAAAAAAGTTATCATTCACTAATGGCTTGAAAGCACTGATGCCACTTCTAGGGAAGTACTTGGTCTCCCATAACTTTTGGTCAGCGTGGTTTTAGGTTTTGTGATGTCTATCTTTTTAGGAAAATTAATCACAACTGCTTTTCTATGCAGCAATAATGATTGTATCGAAAAGCTATCAAGACTCAACTGGTCCTCTTGGTCTAGAATTTATAGGCGACCCCCTCCAGCAGGCTGGGTCCAATCAGTGGCAGGGGCCCTTAACTGTCCACTGCCCACCCTGACATGGCCACTTTTTCTGCCATCCCTTCCTCTGCAGTCCTTTAGACCAATACTGCCTCCACAGTGTGAGAGCCTGGGCTGTGCTGGATGCGTGCGGAACTCAGGAAAGTGGGCGTCAGCTGGTGGAGGGAACAAGCAGGCAGCAGGGAGACATCCACAGCACCCCAATATTCCCAACACTCGACAACCACAATACACATTCCACAGTGGAAGGAGGTGTGATTCTGGAGACCCTTGGAAGGGTTAATACATTGATTGGTAAGCTACTTACTAACTGAAAAAAGGGAAGGAAAACCATGAAAGTATGCTTCTGGAGAGTTGCCTTGGAACAACAGAGCAAACCAAAAATTAAAACCAAGAAATGAAATAGTTCAAAAATCAAAATTAAGGCTAAACAAGCAAAGAGAGTTCTAATAACCTTCCAACTGCAAGTCTGGCTGTCTGGAATCAGATTCCAATCAAGAATAACACAGAGTTTTCCACTAACAACGATTTTTTTTTTTTAAACTAAAGCAAGGCCAATTGGGTGTTCATTCCCTCTCACATTCCTATGTTCATCTGGCCATGGAAACTGACCTCATGTCATATGTTTTGTTTCCAGAGCAGGAAATTCCAAGAGGAAGAAAAAAGAGCAGGTTTCAGATCTTTCCACATATTAACCCTAATCCTGAGTCTAACAATGTGCAGGACTGGGCTAGTTTTCATTCCTAGGAGGATGAAGGGCAAGAAGAAGAGGTTCATCAAACCTTTAGCTGCCTGCTTGTCCTAAGAAGAGCCGGGATTCAAATTCATCGCCCAGTTCTCAGCTACACAAAAAATAAAACACTGAACACTGTGTGGGACAGCAGAGAGGCAATGGGTGCTCAATACCCCAACAATTTATCAATGAATCTGATATGAAGACACCTACTAGAATAACCAGAACTTTACTATTTAGAGGTTTGAAGGAACACGAGGCTCCCCAGGATGCCACAAGATAAAATCTGGCAGGGCTCAGAGGCAGGTGGGTCCGCTGTGTCAACGGAGGAGACAGAGCACTGGAAACATCACACTATCCAGAGCAGTAAGATCCCACTTCAAGATGACAAACTCAAAAAAAGTCATATGAAACAGTTTTCCTGGAAAAACCAGATTTGGCACTTACCCTGGGCCAAATTATATTACAAGGGAAAGTGTCTGTTTTCAAATGGATTAAAAACAACGTAAACCAGGTGTGGCAGTGCACACCTGTAATCCCAGAACTCTGGGAGGCTGAGGAGGGAGGATGGGAAGTTTGAGCCCAGCTTGGCAACTCAATGACTTTGCAAGTCATTGAGACTGCAATGTCTGAAAACAAAGAATAAAAAAGTGGCTGGAGATGGTAGCTCAGCATGAAAGCCCTGGGTTTGATTCCCAGTACCATAAAATAAATACATCAATTTAAAAAAAATAAGCAGTTTATAAACATTTTAATCTATTTGATGAAAATAGAGTTGCCATTAAAACAAAGTTTGGGGCACTCATTATGCAGAGGCGTAAGGCTGGGTCACTTCTTGCTGAGAGCAGTTTCTTTTAAAGGATCAGCTCATGTCTGTCCTTGCTCTGCGTGTAGGTCCCACACCACAGCTTGGGCATCATGAAAATGGGCACATTAGGGAAAGTGGCTCTTCCTGGCAGCAGCTCCTTTATGAGCTTTTTTTCAGCACATAACTGAGCTTTTGGAACAAAGATAAGCCCGTATAAATCATGGATACAGAGATTAAATGTGTTCTGGCAGTGCTGGCAGCCCTAAGTGAACATTAAATAAATGAATGCAAGGAAAAAGCGGGGAGCCTCTCCTGTAAGACCCACATTTAGGTCCCTTTTAAGGACTTTACTAACCAGCATTTCATTTTAATACTGGGTTCCTTGTCTATTTTTATGTTTTAATTGACAGGTCATGGAACTCCCTAAAGCACACTTTAAACATTTCTGCATTATTTAAAAGCAAGAGTAAACTAAAATGCATTCTAATTTTGCTACGTGGTTTCACGATACAAACCGTGCCTTTTCCTTCCTTGCAAATGGGAAACACTGTATAGCACTGTTTCTCAAAAATGTGGCCTCAGACCCAATGGCACTGAATCCGTAAGGGCTAAGTTTGTAAGCGTCAGACCCTTGGATTGCCCTCAGCCTGCAGAAGCATAAGCCCTGAGGGTGATCCAGGGGACTGGCTGTCCTGAAAGCTGTCTGTGTGATTTATATGCGCAGTACAGCTTGAGAAGCACATATTTAATAGGCAAGCAGCCACTGCCTTTCGAATATGTGCTTATTATTGATTGAAATTAATTTCTAAATTGAAACCCAGCAAATTTGAGAATTCAATCGTTACTTACAAAATTTCAAAGTTTGCCTTTTGTTTAACATGGTTCATTTTATGCATCTATATCAACTCCAGGAAAGCACGAAGGACTCGAGAATTAGAAGCAATATTCTAGGACAGCTCCAGTGTTCTGTGCAGGATGGATCTCCTCTGCTTCTCAGAGGAGGCTGAAATTTGGACATTAACATCTACAATCTCAGGTTTCTTTCGGTCCCTAACAGCTCTGGATTTTCAAACAAGCAAAGTCGTCTTTCTGACAAGTTTGATGGAGTTTCCTATCCAGCTTACCAGTTAGGAAGATTATCAGAAAATAAAACAACAGGCAAATGAAGCAGATCTAACAAGAAAGGAAAAACCATGTTTACAGAGAGAGGATTCCCAGCGGCGGTGGGGACCTGAGTCACTGAATGAATGGCTTGCAGGGGGCCACACAAAGGTGTCAGGTTTGGGATGAGAATGAAGATGAGAAGATACAAACAGGTGGAGAGGAGATTCGGTTCTTGAAAGAGGAGAGGAGGAGGAGGAGGAATCTGACACTAAAAAAGTGAAAGAGAAAAAAAAGGATAAAGGCAAAAAAAAAAAAACTTTCAGAAACACAAAGAAAAAATAAACTAGCTTTTAATATACTCACATAAGCTGCAAAGAAAATGAGGTCATGTAATACACAATCATTCCTCTACTTGACAATACAAGTGCTTCTCAAAAAAACCAAATTTCTTTTTCTAGAGATTATTTGTTTTAATGACATCATAGAGTAAAAACTCAGATTTACCTGGCCATAGAACAGATTCTGCTGAAAATGAAACATGTTTAACTTACAATATCCAGAGCATTCTATAGGATAGAATTTGCTGAAATTTTCAGTTGAAAAAGTTAGGGCTCTGCATAGATTTGTGCCTTTATGAGAAGCACTTATATAGTTTACTATAAAAATAGCTTTCCAAGGTGCAGTCTACTGAGGTGCAATGGTATGGGGGTATGTCATGGTCCCAGGCTGTGGCGATGCAGCGTTAAGCTTTCTGTGGTTTTCTGTTGGGAACAGTGGGCAGGTACTTTGGAAAGGAACCTGGTACTGCTGCCTGCATGTTCTATGGCTGGAGGGGACATGGCAATGTGGAGACCACAATGGCTGCAACCAGAAACTTTCTCAGCAGAATGGGTTAAAACTTTTCAAGTTAAAAAAAAACATATGTTGCTTTGGACAGGTATCTGGTAATATCTACCAATGATCAAAGATAAATCTCCTCACCCTGCATCCTGTTTTTAAGGCAAAAGGAAAAAAATATTTTTTTCCATCCTCTATTTAAGGATCTACCAACCTATTCCAAAGAAAAGACAATGACTCATAGTTTCAAAAGTAGAGACTGTCAGTCTATGTGGTTCCTCATTTTGTTGGCTAGGACCTATTGGATGACAGAGGTGGGGGCACAGGAAGCCAGAGGGGATATCGGAAGGGAAATCATGTTTGATAACAGGAGGGCCTTTCTCAGTTTCACATGCCTATTTAATAAAAACATATTTCTGCTAATTTAGTACAGTGGAGAGGATTGGTCCAAAGCTTATAGATGTGAGTTCCTCCTTGTATTTATTATTTCACAGATCTTCATATGGAAGTCTCAGAGGCAGAAAATACCTTTCAGTTAATTAGCCACTTCTGAGATCAGGAACACTGAACTGTACTGTGTAATGACCTGGGTTAATAACAGAATTGTGGATATTTATTTATTTTAAAGTTCTTATCCTCAGATCCTGACATTTTTATAGGCACAATATGATATCTGAGATTTACCTTAAAATAATCTGCAAAAAACCAAATGTGGGACAGGAGAAATAGAGGAAACAGGGGCATTAACTGCTGAAGCTTGGGGCAGCTAACGGGAATTCATTCGCTGTACTTACATCTCTCCTCTGGTACACTTGAAAAATTTTCCCCATCATAGAAATTTTAAAAAACAAAAGTAAATATAGTTTGGTGGGGGGGAGAGCCAAAACTGCTCCAAGAGGTCCTGTGACCTCACGAAGGAGCCTGTCCACACAATTGGGGGTTCTAGCCACATGCCCCAAAATTGGCAGGATTTGCGACAGCAGTTCAGCATGGCTTTAGCCACACAGCCTTCCCGATGTCAGCACTTTAGCTTCGCTCATGTCAGATGGCTGTGCCCTTCCAAGGGAAAGCAGTTTAGGAAGCAGTTAGGCATCAGCATGGCATGGACCAGTGCTAAAGACACGCTGCCACCTGCCAGGGCTGGGTTCTCCCAGACCATCTCTCATCTGAGCCACTTTACTTTGGAACAGTCTCCTTCCTCTTTTGCTCTGCAAAATGAGTAGAATAAGCTGGTCTCCTTCAGCACAGCAGAGGCTGAAAGCGGCCGCAGAGGGAGGTCTGAGCTCGTGCTAGATAGGTAAGAACCCAGAGTAAAATATGGGGTCCTGCACCATGCAAGAGAATGAGGAAACTCTCTGTGGATGCAGGCATCTCCTGGAATGCTGGGAAATGACAAGTGTCAGGTGCTGAACAGCATCCAGAGTATTTGACTGTTTCCGTCAGACGCCTGGGAAGTAACACATGTGCCTATTTGCACGAAAGAACACTGGAAGGAAGGGTAAACAAAAAGCTAGTAAAAATGGTTATCGTCTGGAAAAGGGAAGACAGAGACAGAACGGAAGTAAAGTCTCCTCATGGGACACTCTGAGTTAGAGTTTTGGCTTCTGAATTATGATATGTGCTTCCTGTGACATGAAGTCAGGATGAGCAGAACAAATGAGGTGCGCCCACAGGAGGTGAATAAGGTGAGAAGGAGCTGCCCCGCCCATGGCTTCGCTTTGGGCCAAACTAAATAAAAGTGGGCTTTATTAACCAAGAGGCAGCATCCTTTCCACTTGGAGGAGAGTGAGCCTCCTGCACCTTTCAGTCTTTCCAACTTAGGTGGTCATTTCAGAATTTTTCATTCTCCTTTCCAAACAGCCTTAGTTGACAAGGGCTCCCCACGCGGCCCTCTGCTTTCCTGTTCCCTGCCTCTCAGTTAAACTGACTGTGCCCGCCACATCGGGCAGCACTGGAGCAGGGATGGAAGGTGAGGCCTGGGGGACTCCTGGATAGTACAACTCGAGGGTCATGGCCTGGGCCCGGCAGGTGGGGGCTCTCCCGATTGTTCGGGAAGGGCATGGGGACCAGCAGCCTGGGCTCCAAACACCTGGGACCCTCTCAAGAGAGCAGCTGCATGGATGCCCCTGAGGCGAAAGGGGAGGAGAAACAACAGGGTAGTTCTGACCCAGGGGTAGTGCCAGCTGGGTTGTGCCACACAGACACAGCTCACGTGCACAACACGGCATCTGAGAAGGTTTACCCTGAAAAGGGCAAATCCTAAGAACTCTGGGGGGAAACATCCCAAGGGACAAAAGGGAGACTGAGCAAGGGCCTCCTTTATTTTCTGTCACTGTTTCAATGCGCTGTGGCACTCAAGTCTGGGGACCTCTAGGGAAATTAAGGTCCAAGCCAGCTGGAAGCAAAAGGGTCTAGATTTAGTACGACTGTTTTCCCAGGACTGAGGAAGGGGCCCAGGGACGCCCAGCCCCAGGCAGCTGCAGGAGCTGTTCTCCACTGGCCTCAATCACCACAGAGGCTATAGGGAATTTCCCAGCCTCTTTCTCGTGCTGTGTCCTAGCATGGCTACTGCTGGCAGCCCGAGCATCACTTTCCTGCAGTGTGGAGCCAGGACAGCAGCCACAAGGCTGAGCTCTGGTGTGCTGTGCCAGCCAGGCTCTGCCTCCTCGGAGGCCTGCCCACGATGGCTGACCACTCTAAGGGGTGCTTCCCTGTGGCTCAGCCAGTCTACATTTTGGGCAGGAGCTGTGGGTCAGGGTAAACTGCTCTACTCCACAATTTGTGCTGCTTCTCAAGGCCAACAATTTTTTGACCAGGGAGCTCCAGGGCTGTGGATCACACTTCTCGGGCTGACTCTTGGTTGGTGGAAGGGAGCCTAGGCAGAAATTTAGGACTCAGGCAGCTTTAAGGAGAGCTCCCAGAGGCTCTGGTCCTCCAGCCTATCTGAGGTCAGATGAACCCTGGCATTCTTCAGAAGGACTATTCTGTGAGCTGGGACATGGCACAGGTCAGAAAAAGGACCTTGCGGTTGCTTTCCTAAAGCCAGCCCATGAAAGACCAGGCACACCAGACAGGGTTTGATTAAGCCTTACAGGGCCCCCTGTGGGAGGGTGAAAAGCAACAGGAGTGTGTTCAAAGTGATATTCTGAAACCACTACTGAGGTTTAAAGCTAAGTGAATTTCATGATGTTTTGTGAGTCTGCGAGTCCCCTGAATTGCTGTGGAACAGTATTACTGCTTGGAACTGCTTGGGTGCAGCTATGGAAACTGGGGGGCCAGGCAAGAATATCTGCTCAGAGGCAGTAATTGGTGTGGTCCTCCAGGCAGGGCAGCAGAATCAGCTCAGAACACAGCTGCTGCCCTCCTGGACTTTCTGCTGGGTGTATGCATGTTCATAGGGGAAGGTGATCAGAAATCAGAATGACCAATTTCAGCACAGTGGAAACCTAAAGGGTGACACAGAAAAACAGAGGAGGACCTGATGAGGATGGAAACCACCTAATATTGGTTTCAAATTTTAGAGTTTCAGAGCAAGGCAAAACATTTCAAAGGGTTGTGCTGGGCAAATAATATTCCTCCCCATTCTGTGAACCAACACTTGGAAGAGATCGGAGTAACTGCACCTCAATGAAGTGCCTCAGCGGTCAGCGTGCAACTCCCCCGCCCTCACCCCAGTGCCCAGCCCCACACTCTCCTGGACACCACCTCGTCGCCCCAGCCTTGGCTTCTCACCTGTCTCGGGGTCACTGAAGTCTGGCAAAGTGATTGTGTTAAGCTGCCGTCTGTCAGCGATGGTTCTATCTAACAGGCTGCTTCCACGTCCAGAGTCACTGCAAAACACACTGCGAATGTCAGTCACCTGGGAGGTGGCAAGGAGGAAGGAGAGGCCCAACCGGGCTGCTGCTGAGGTGCCCTTGGCACCTTTCCACGTGTAAAGGGCATCTTGCTTCCCGCCTCAGCCTCGCTGGGATCCTTCAGGATTCAGTATCACAAACACAGCTAAGCCACCCAGCAACCCCTGCCAGTTCTGGATTCTTGTATCACTAAAGACACAGAAATGAAAACTTTAAGCCAGGCTCTCTGCAGACCTGATGGGGGAAACTGACTGGCATTCCAGGCTGTGAAGTCACAGAACTCATCAGGCCCCTGATACATCATCTTCCAAGGATGTCTTTATTTTTAAATATTTTTGATCGATCATGGCACAGTAGATGGAACTAGGGCCTCTGCATTGAGTTACATTCTATTTTTTACTTTGAGACAGGGTCTCATTGAGATGCTAAGTAGCCCGAGCTGGCTTAGAACTTGCAATCCTCCTCTGAGAAGTCTTTAAGAAGCAACGCTCTGTATGAGTGCTTTTTACCTCACAGCCTGAGAAAACCACCCAGATTTCCTGACGCTAACATCCTACTCCACACCAAAGAAATCAGATTTCAGGGGTCAGTCACTACTCCCTTCAGATAGTTTTAAGGAACATCTGCCTGATTTGAGGACTCCTGGGCCACTGCTTTTCAGAGAATATCCACGGTCACTGGCTTATTTGTGTCCCCAGAACAAGCCTTTGCAAAATGTCACATGAGTGAAGCCCCTCATTAATAAGGAAAAGGTGTCTCAATGAGCTGGTCGAAGCACAGTTGGCCCTGTGGGCCCCATGACATTTCTGAGCTGGCCAAGGGCCTGGAGGGGACCTGAAGGGACTTAGAGAGGTCAGAGCAGTGTTTTGGTGCCTGCTTCCAGATCACCACAGTTACCAGCTCTGCACTGCCACCTTACTAAAAGCCCTTTCCAGCCTGGCCACAAGACAAGTTTGGCACCATTCCCTCAGCCAGGGTCACAGGAACACCAAGGCAGGCCTAACTGGAATTCAAACATTTATGAGACCTTAGCCCAGACATTTTTCTTTTTAGTTCTCAGAAGTAACAACTATGGCTTTTTTTTTTTTTTTTTCATCGCAGTAATCTGTCTCAGAGCTTGAAGAACAATTTTTTTGTTGCTGTTGAGAAGTTCAAATTCTGCAATTTCCTTCCTCTATGTAGCCATTGCTAAAAGCAGCAGAGGGAGATCTGGTATGAAACTTAATACAATTCCCAGGCTGCAGTTTCCACATTCAAGGATGCATCAGAGAAAACTACAGGAAACGGAGGAAACTTCCTTTAGCACACTCTTTGTCAGCCTGCACTTATCCCATACTGTTTTGTGGGTTTTTTTTTTTTTTTGGCAACTGTTCCATTAATTATTTCCACAACTGTAAATCTGAACAGAAGATAACATAAAAGTCCATGCAAAACTAACATTGGTCCACTCATACAGAATTTTTATATAAACAATTACAAAGGATTATCTGAATATTTAATGGCTCAATTTTTAGGAGGTTTTCAGAAGACTCTGTCTCAAAAACATAGTGGTACTTTTTATCCTGGGAGGGACAGCAGAACACAGTGGGGTGGTGGCACTGGCAGCAAGGCCCTGCCTGGTATGTGGGGGGCCACCCGTGGGTGATTTCAGTCACGATGCTGTAGGCCTGCATCTCACCAGGCTTCCAGTGTGGCCTTGCAAGGCGCTGGGAGGACCCAGAAATGGAAGTCTTGGAACCCAGCTTGGGGTCTTGGTCCTTATCCCACACCTGTCAGTACTAAGCATGACGTCTGTGGCTCAGGGAGCTCCCTGGCCAGGTGGGAATAAGGTTTGTCCTCCCACACGGAGCTATGTAGGGATGGAATGAGGTTGTGTAGACGGAGGATTCTGAAGACCTGCCCCTTCTAGGCACGTACCAGGAGTCATAAATACACCTGCCTACAAACACGCATCAGAGTACCCGCAACTGGCTGATTCCAGAGACAATTTACTTCTGGCTTTCTAGTGTAATTAGGGGAGGCATGGGACAGTTGAGTAAGGACCTCTTATTCCAAATGCCAGAAACCCCAAGTAAAACCATATTAATTTGTGAACCTGCTCACTGAAATGACACAGGACTTGTTTCCTTCCACCAGTAGAGAAATGACCCTTGGTAACATTACTCAGTTTCTCTTCTTTACTTTCTCCTGAAAACAGTATATAAGCAACAATGAACAAACTAGAGATGTTTTTGTCTTCTTCCTCAAAATAATCAGGTTTTGATTGATTAAGAATTTTGCTGAGTGATCCAAGCAATCTTCAGTTCTTCATTTACGTGGTACAGTATCTTAACCAATCAAGAACTGGTTTGGCTACAACTTGCAGAATATGAGAGGGCACAAGGGCAAGAGTCTCCTAGCTCTCTCACTCTGGTCAGTCTTGATGATCACTGTCTTTCTCCCTCTAGCACGCAATCTGCTTGGGAACCTCTAGGGAGTCCTCTCACCTCCCCACTTCCCTGCCTGGTCCTTAGACCACAAAGGGCACCTCCCAAGGAGGAGGGCAGGAAGGGAGAGAAAACCATTCCTGGTCAGTGATGCTAGCACATGGTTTAAGGAGAGCAAACTGGGAAGATGTAAGCTGAGGCTGTCCACATGCATGGAAGTGCACAGCCAGGGAACTTCTGGTCCTCATTAGAATTGAAAGTTCAGGTTATATTGTAATGACATTTGATGTTCTACTGGAAATTGGGAACTTTTCTTGAAAATCTTGTCTTCCACAGCTACACAGAGGCAAAACACAAGGGCAAAGTGGTGGTCGTGGTGGTGGTAGACAGGAGGGCAGAAACTGGAGTTCTTGTCACAAGATTGGCCTCTTAGAATAGAGGCTCCCGGGGCTGGGGATTTAGCTCAGCGGCATAAGCACCTGCCTTGCAAGCAGGCAGTCGCAAGTTCGATCCCTGGTACCGATAAAAAAGAAAAAGACAAAAAAAAAAAAAAAAGAATAGAGGCTCCCTCCTTCCATACTTTGGGCTCTGGGCTTCACAGGCCCCCAGGGCTTCAAGGGCTGCACACAGGGTTAGGGTTAGGGTTAGGGTTAGGGTTAGGGTTAGCATAAAAATTGGAACTAAGAAAGGGGAATGGGCAGCAAACCCAGAAGAGGCACATGGGAGAGCAACCTCTGTTTTTCTTCAGGCCTCAAATGCCTAGGTTATCAGAGAAGTCCTCAGTATTCTTGACGCTCATTTTTCTCATCAATAAAATGAGTATGATATAATGTGACACTTGCCCATTTTGTCTAGCTTCTTTGAAGGTGAAATGAGAACCCGCTTTGTAGAAAAGAAAAGCTACACCAAAATGTTAGTCACTAGCAGCATGCAGTGAGGTCTCCAACTGTGGCCCGAGTGAAGACAATGCATGTGCGTGTGCTTAACTCTGAACACGGTTTATTGGTAGGTGACTGATGACTTGGGAAGAAAAAAAATTTCTTCCAATCACAGAGAAATCAACCAATGACTAAATATAGATACGGGTCAAGTGGCCTCGATAAGAACAGAAAAGAAGTGGTTAACAATTAAAGAAACTGTCACCTCAAGACAGGCAGCATGCCACCATGGAGAGAACTCTGGTGTTAGTGGATGTGGGTTTGAAGCACAGCTCTACTGCTTACTTGGGGAAAACAGGAAAGTAGTTTAGCTTCCTTGAGTGTCCACACAAGCTATTTGCTATAAAATGGAAGTAACTCTAGTTATCTTGCAAAGCTAATACAAGGATTGAAGACGACACATGACTGGCCTAGTACAGTACTGGCACAGGGAAGTTCCAGTATACACGGTTATTACCACCCAGGCTGAAATGCTGTGCTATTGTGTGCCAGGAGCCTGCTGGGCCCTTATGGGGAGAATAGGTCAGATTTACATGGTCTTAAATAGTCTCGTCAGTATGCCCAAGACCCAAGGAAGCATTATACTTTACCAAGGGAGGAGAGACAAAACATGAGACAGATTCCTATCCTGAATGCAAGCAATACTGCAGAGCCAGGGAAAGAGAAGCCAGGCTTCTGAAATGACAAACGCTTTGACAAATGTACTCTCGAGAGAATGCCACCCACTATTTTGCTCACAGCAAGAGCTGCATTCTACAACTCCAGGTGGAACCCTATTGGCAAGTTTTCTAAGCCTCAGTTCAGTGACTGGCTCATATTGTGATTTCCTTTAAGCAAAAATAAAGAAGGAAAGAGTTGCTAGAACACGAAGCTCGGATCTATTCTCATTTTGGCCACTCACACCCTGGGGCTGCCCACGTCTTCTTCAGCCTCCTCTTGCTGCCTGAGAGGCTTTGCAGAGCCTCAAGATGGACTCAGAAGGGGGTGGGGAAAGGTGGGAGCCCCGGCAGGTGGAGTGCAGGGGCCCACCACACCTGAACACAGCAGAAACGGGATGGAGTTGGGACACCAGAGGACCTACTCTGGCTAGAACTGAACTGCTTCCTGCCACAATCTTCCTGCTCCAGGTCCAGTTTATTTTATTTGCAGGGAGGGATGCTTCTTGTGCACTTGTTCCTATGATTTCATCCTTTTCCAAAGCCCTGTACAATCTGAAGGTAGATTGAGCCATTGGTCCCATGTCACCTCATCTGGAGGGCGAGAGATGTCAGGGCACAGGCTTCTCGCTTCATGCGGTTCTCTGTGGGCCAGGGCTACTTCTGATCCAAACAGGCTGGGAGCACGGCTCGGTCTACACTAGGGTGAGGGCTGCCAAGAAACATTTATTTATATCCCAGAGAAAATGAAGTTTAAAAATCCAAACAAACAGGAAGCTCCTGAGGAGGAGCTGGAGAAGCAGCTCTGACGGAGGGGGAGCCCACCACCCTCCTGGCCAAGTTCATGCCCAGGTCAGGGTCCTCTCTGTTCGGGCCCTGAAAAATCCTTTAGAAAACAGAGGAAGTATGGATGAGCCCAGGCATTTGGTTAAGTATTTTTAAAAAGCTTTCCAATTCTGCTATTTTCTTCTCCTCACGCTCAATATTCTTGGTTGCTAAGTGGGAGGAAATGTGGGGAGGTGGGAGAGGTGTGGAGAACTGAGGGAAAATTGGCAACACGAAAGCTGATGGGTTTATTTTCTCTTTCCTAAAGGGGTGCAGGCAAAGGATGTGCTCCGGCACCCAGGCAACCAGCCAGGGCAGTGTCTGCTGTCGGGGGGTTATGAGGCAGACTGCACCACGGAGTGGGCCTTCTGGGGAGACAAGCACACAATTTCCAGTTTTGCTTACAGTTTTAGACATGTTGTATTTCTTTTAAGTTACAATGATCTGTATTTTAGATCAAACCCACAAAAAGGAAGAGGCCAGACTCATGATTCGCCAAGAGGACTGGGGAGCGAGCATGGGGCAGCGGCGACAGATTACAGACAGTGGTTGAAAGGGACCCTCGGGTGGGTGTCCCTAGTGACTGTGACTGTAGCCACCTGTGCGGGTGTGGGCTGGACCCTGGATAGCTGGGGAGAGCACCCTCAGATGCTCTCTGCCCGGGGTGGGAGGGGTCTATCTCATCTCAGTGTAGGGGGCCCCCGATGCTGTACAGGGCCGGCCCTGTTTTTGAGTGCCTGCTTTTTTTCTTTTTTCTTTTTTTTTTTTTAAGTGTGAAAGCTTTTGTAAAATACAATCCTACCCCCTCTTCTGGTAACTCATACCTGTGTCCCCTCCCCACAGGTCTCTACATACCAGCAACCAACCCACACCCTTGATATGCATTTACCATTTGAATGGCACCTTTGCAGGCTCCTGACTCTTCAGAGCCTAACAGGGGTCTATATGCCTTGCCATGAACTTGCAGAGTGCCCTGAGGGTAGAGCGGTTGTGTGAACTCACTGGACACATCAGGTCCTGCTTTGTTACTCCCTTCAAGGGGCAGGACACACTTAGCAATCTAAACACGCTCAGGAGAAAGTGCCCCAGACTTGACAATGGGCAAATGGGCTGCTGAGTGTCTGTTCACAGCCTGCTGGGGCTGATGGGTTGCCCTTCCCCAGAGCACTGATTCTAAAAGGAGGAATCTCTCGCTCCTTCTTGACAAGGCTGCTTTACAGTTCTGAAGAGCTACACATGAACCTGCAGAAAACTGACAGTCGAACAAATGAATTTGCTCTGGTAGAGATACAACTGATTTCCACCAATAAAAAAGCAGTATCAGTACATTGCACTGCCTTATAGGGTACTGTTTCGCATCTATTTACAAACCCATTTTAGCATTTTTGCCTCTATGCATGTTTTTTGAAATTCCTCTTTAAATGTAATGTTTCACTGGTTCCCCTGTTAATGAGATACACAGAATTGTTGACACGTTTATTTTTTATTTGTATGCGTCACCATTTTAACTTTTTGCGAGTTATAGTTTATCACAGTAATAGTGATTTCTCCTCTCCCTAGTAGGATGTGGTCTGTTGTCCATGCAGACTTTTAAAACAATACTGCAAGAATCCCATCTGGAATACATCATTGAATAGTCTATACACAAACTACCTGAAAGACAGTAAGATTTGTCACAGGAATTATGTACATGAACGGCAGAGAGAAGCTGGAGAGGGATCAGTTGTGGACTGGGCCTATGGGTCACCATGGCAGCAAAAGCAAAAGAAACCTATGACGTGGGGGGCTTCGTCAGCTACTGGGAGAAACCAGATGAAGCTCCATCACTACCTGCCCCTTGGGGGGATGTGGGGTTACACGGAGGCTACCACCAGTCAGAGGTGGCTCTGAGAGGTGGGGGACCCATGCAAACCTGGCTTCTTACCTGGGATTGGTTAGGTTGTAGCAGGATTTCCATATTTGTAACATGTGCTTACAGGTGAGCAGTGCCTCATCTGGGCCCCGGCAGAGTGACTCCAACTTCACTTTGGAAAACAGTAGTCTAAAAAAAAAAAAAAGAAAGAAAGAAAAATAAAACAGTAGTCTACAAAAAGAGAAGAAGGGGAAAACACATGGCTCAAGCCAGAGAGGTGGGCTCGGCCCCTGGCTGGAGTGACTGCACCCGAGTGGGGACATCCACACCCATGGTCTCGGGAAAGCAGTGGCTGCAGAGTCAAGGATTCCAGAACCTCCAGATCAATATGTGGCTTTGCATAGGGCTCATCAGGGTGACCAACTGCGGTCAAGTTAAAACCATTATGGTAGCCAGTTGTACTAAGGACACGGGGATTTTTATTAATGTTGCTGTTTAGAACAAAATCAATTTACATATGAAACTGCAAAAATTCATTAAAAGTGCAATTTTGATTTACTTACAACACCACACAGGAGAAATGACTCAATTGCTATAAATATCTATAACTTTCCATGAGGCTTTTCATCTTCAAAAGCCTGACCTAAAGGCACACAGGCAAGGGGGCCTCTGGTGGGACCCCCGACACGGTCTAGATCCACCCTGTCCTGCTTTGTAGAGACTACACTTCAGGGCTTATAGTCACCAAGGTTTTGTTACCACCAACGGCTTCGGCCTCCATCTACACCTTCTAAGCACTAAACTAGAACCTTCTTATCCCACTCCAAATTCTCCTTCTGTTTCTCTGGAGACATCAGCCTAGGTGATGCCAACCTCAGCTCTCTTGGTTCCTGGACTTGTCACCAATATGTAGAGAAGGTTCCAGCACAAACCTAGATTCCCTGCTAGTGATCTTCCTGTTCCTAGACCTGCCCAGTTCTCAGAAATCTTACAAAGATCTCCAATAATCATTTTCAAGCACAGGAGGGTAAGGCAGGAGGATCACAAGTTCAAGCCTAGTTTGTACAATTTACCAACCTGGTTAGACACTATCTCAAGATAAAAATAAAAAATAAAGAGCTGGATATGTAGTTCAGTGGAAAGATCTTGGGTTTAATCTCAAGAATCATTAAAAACAAAGCAAAAACAACAAAACATCATTTTTTTCAGCTCCAGCCTGGGAAACTGCAACAGTTCCTCACCACCTGAACAGTGTCCTGTGAGGCACTCCAGCCACTGGCCATCCTCACTTCAGCATCCCATCCCGTGCCATGCACCTGCTGCACCCCTTCCTGCTATGGGGTACCTCACTGCTCAATGCCATGTTTCTTCCTCAGCTCTGTCACTGCCCGTGCCAGGTCCTCACTTGTAATCGTTTAATTCTTCCCCAATACAACCTAAAACCGGGCTTCCCCAGGTAGGTTGCCCCGTGACACCACTTTCACTCTGTCTCCTCTACTGAGTAGGTACCACACCAGCTGTGTTTGCTGTTAATGATAATTTAAAAGGGAGAAAGAAACAGAGCGGTTGCAGGTCACCTGTGTGGCACAGACCACTATCATCTCTGCAGTCACCCTGATCAGGAGGTGGTGTTTGTCACTTTTCCACAGCAAAGGACACTGAGGGTTTATAACAGCACTCCCTGGACAGTTACTTTCTGGATATAACAGGACCTTGACCCTCTCTATCTCTCTGACCTTTCTTCCATGGTGCCCAGGATTGTGCTTTGAGTTCCACAGGCCTCATGTCAGCATCTGCTCACTGACTGCCTTCTTCATAAGCCATGGAGATGAAGAAATGTGTTTCTGTGTTTAGGTTAGACATGCAGTAGAGTTCTTCAAGAATACATGATGCACTGTCCTTATCCCGAGGCGCTGGAGAGAAGCCAAGCCCCTCTCTGTGAGAAATGGGAGCATGTGGTCCTACATCATTGATCAACCTCAGGGATGGGCTAGCACCAAGTGCTTCTTCTCAATGGGACAAAGAAAGCCTAAGGAGGGCTAGTGGCTCCCAAAACGCTCAGAGCTGCAGCCTCACTGAGCCTAGGTTTTCAGAATCTGGGCTGATGAGATGACAGGTCACCTGATAAGAAGGATGTGGTGTCAGATCTGCAAGCATAAAGAACAAGGCCACATGTGAGAACAGGGTGTGGCTTCTGCCCCCAAACAGCTCAAGAAGTAGAAATCCCTTGAAGCTTTACCAGGGCCACCCCTAGGAGCATTGCACACTCAGGGTATCTCACGGGATTTATAAAAGCAGCAGCTGGCTCCTACTAAAGTGCAAGAGCCCAGGATATGGCAGGAGCACGTTCCCACCAAACTCACATCAACTGAGAGAGGTGCTGCAAAGGAAGGAGAGGCCACCAAAAGGTCACTTTTCAGCCTCTAGTTGAGAGCTCCCTGGGAGGTCCACAGACTCCCCTGGATGGAGGTGGCTGCCAAGCAATTGCAGCCAGCAGAGAACCCCTCCTAGACCACAAGAAGCCCAGCAGGCTGCACTGGCACTGTGGTGGTGAAGCTGGGGGTGAGGGTGCCGAGCAGCTCTGCCAGGCTCGGCGGAGGCCTTGGAGGAGGCGGTAAGGTTTCCCTGCCCTGCAGGCAGTGCGGTGGCTCTCACAGCAATTAGCCTCGATTGCTTTCACTGTACCTAGAGTACGAAATGCCAGAGCACATTGCTAAGCCTCAGCTTGGGGGAACAGTTCTTTGCAAGGCTTCTTGGCTGGAAAAAGAACTTCTAATTAACATGAAATAACAGCTTTCAAACATTTGACTCAGGATATGGAGTTGAAAAGGTGTGGGCTGGATTTAAGAGAACCAGACAGAAAGAACAATAGTAGAACTGCTGAGCACAAATGATGGAAAAGGCACTTGGAAGGGAGGCAAGAGGAACACCCAGGAAAGAGCCTGGCAGAGGAAAGGAGGAGGAGAGAAACACTGAGGCTGCCAGCCGCCGCGTGACACTTGTGCCCGGCCTCACTCGGACCCGGGACGGAACACATGGCCTCCCGGCTCGCTGAGCCTCAGCTGGTCTGTGAGGCGGGAAACAATACCGAAAGCAGCAGCAGGGGCAGTTGTCACTGTATCTGCCCACGCCTGCTAGTGCACATCAAGACTGCTCAAAAACATCTGGCAAGTGTAAGTTATGTTAACATGTTAACGTAGAGACGAGAGCACACAAAGAATGATTAGCATTAATTTGCAGTGGTTGATGTCCAAAGATATAATAGATTCAATCTACTGAAGAAACCCTGAGGCAAAACCAAATGATGAGAAAGCCTGACACAAACCCACACGTGATTCCCTTCAGTGTGTCCAACTGTCAGCCTGCTGCAGACTGCAGGGGGCACTGCCAGCCACGTTGCCAGGCACAACGTGACTCAGTCCTGGAGTCACGCGCTGGCATATGTCCTCCGCGCATCCCCTGTGCTGCCTCAAAGTTCCTTTACCTAATTCCTGAAAAAGAAATATTTTGTTCGTACAGTCACCAAAAACACATACGGTGAATGAAGAACTGGGCAACAGTACCAGGCCCCGTTACTGATCATTTAAACCTAGCATTTCCAAAAATTAAAACACCCAGATTTCCTCTTATTCCAAAAAGAAGAGCCATTGTCAAGAACTTAGAAGGATAAACTTGAGTCATCTGCTGAATCATACAGTTTCTCTAGATGAGAAATCCAAAATATAAATAAAGAACAAAATGAAAGATAATCAGGGTTAGGGAAATAGATCTTATACAAAAGAGAAGGGGATCAAGAGGGAGGGGAAGGGAAGGGATATAAAAGAATTAAGATGTGTTATATACATAGAATGACTTCTCACAAGGAATGAAATTACTATGCATTATATACATGTACTAAAAAAACCCAGAAATTGGAAAAAAAATCTATTTTTCCTAAAACGCCATTTGTGATCTGACTCCTGCCCGCATGCTTGGCCACGGAGGGGTTTTCTGTGGCCCATGACAAGCATCCCACAGCACTGCCATGGCTGCCTTCCCTGCATGCTGCTCGCCTCTGTGCCCTCCCAGGTCTCTACATGTGCCATTCCCTTGATTTGGAATCCAGGTTCCACCCACTCACTTCTGCTTTAGAAAGGCCTGCTAATCCAGTGTTCCTCACGGAGGGTTAGAGGCAGCCGTAAGGAGTGAAGCCGCCCCAATGGAAATCAAGTGCTCACAACCGGGGAATAAGAAGGGACAAGCCAGGAACTTCTACTTTCAAGACAAGTAACATAATAACAGTAAGAACAGCAGCTGAGAGCCACTTCAAATATGCAATCACTGACCCTGAGGACAATCCTGAAAATTAGGTGGAGGATTAAGTAATCTGCCCCAGTTCACAACACCAGTGATTGGCAGAGCAGACATTTAAATCCGAATCCATCCGACTCCAAAGGAATGAACAAGAAACAGGAGAGTAACTTCAAACCTGACTATACTCCTGACACTAATGAAGACATACAGCATTTTCTAATCCATCGCCAAGTTCTGAAGACTCAGAAACATGTGAAGATCTGGGTTAGGTGCTGTTCGGAGCAGAAGTGATATGAAGTCCAATCCCTAGAGCATCAAGAGCGGACAGAAGCTGGATGAGCTGGGCTGTGAAGGGATTGCCCCTAAAATATCACAGACGAGCTTCTTCAAAGCATGATCACATCGTGCATGTGCATTTGTGACTTGTCTTTCACTCCAAAGTCCAGTTAATGCAAGTTTTACTTTATTAACTAATAAAAATATTTTATTATACTTCTAAAATTTCTTAAAGAATCCCAAGATAATTCCTGAAATGACAAGTAGGTTTGATTTAGTGTTGGTGCTCAGGAAGGACTTACAACCACTTTTAGTGACACTCCCAAGGGCCAGTTTGACCATCTAGGGGTCGTCCCCGGGAAGACCCTCCGACCTCCTGGGAACTGCCAGCCCACAGGACATTCACATCTGCACCCCACTCTCCTTTGGCTAGTCCTGGCCCACTCCCAGAATCCACACCTGCGCTGGGGGTTGAGATGAGACTAAAAGATGAGACTAAAATGCTTCTGAATTCTGAAATTTAATATGCACAGAAAAACTTACTGAACAGCCCTCAATGATAAGAAATTAGAAAAGTCTAAAGTGATTCTAAAGTATTAGTTCCCTCCAATTTTATTTGG